AGAGCGATTTAAACATACCACCTTGTAGAGCTACCGCGCTGTCATTTTTAAGCAAGAAATGACAGTCATACATCGAAATGAGCTCTTTGAGAACTTGAACTCAGATCTGAACTGAACTTGAAGCATAACTTACGCACTTTGTATACCTAATTAGGAACGGATTTTAAATTCCAAAATTCCATAGAATGCTCTAGATGCCACATAATTTAAGTTGAGTCGAAGAAGGTTTTAAAACTGGATAGCATCATTGTTTATGTTTCATTGACATATTCAGGACATTTAACTTAGGGCTTATATACAAGGCATACAAGATTGCGCTCCAACATAATAGGTGAGGTTAAGTAGGCAAGTTAGCTCTGCTAAGTAAGTGGCTCAAACGGAACTTTTGTGACGCACTGTTTCTCTTTGTGATGACTTGAAAGTAAAAAAGTCATTAGAAGTATTTTTTTGAATTCACACTAAACATGACTTGATTGCTTTACGGACTTTCTTTTACCTTGGTATTTATTCCAGTCACTGGGTTAAAATAATGTTTTAGGTCATTAGTGCACAAGTTCAAAATATGCAATAATTTGAGCATGTATTTTGCGCAAAAACAAGTAAATCTCACCTAAATCAGGTTCGGAGGAAGATGCTGCTTGGGAAGCTAGCAGTTCCTTTCCCGTATTTTAAAAGGGTGGCAAACTGTTCCATGCCCAAAAAGGGATTGTAGCAGTTCAGCACCGTAAATAGCTAACCGAGGGAAAAGGAAGTTTGCATAAACAAAACAGTCATTAAAGGTGAACAAAAGGAACAGCTTTCGAATGAAACAAATTGTAATAAATCGTAAAGTTGTCTACAAATGCCGCCGAATTGCTTTAGTCTGCTCGTTTACGATTTCACCATAAGTGTGGGCATAAGCTAGCCTTTTTGTTATACTTACACGTTGGTCGCAAAAGTTGAAAGCTTGAAACAAGTATGTGCACCCAGAACTTCTAAAATATGTGGTACAGCGTTCTTTTTAGCAGCGTAGCATAGTGAATCTCTTCCAAAGCCAGGTTAAATTGTTGCATTTTAAAGATATCAAAATGTACAGAAACTCATTAAATGGATTATTACACCTAAATAGTCATTTTCTTGCCATTAAAACAGTGGTGATTTATTAAAAAAACATGCATTTAGCTAACGCCATGTCCAGATTTTTGCCTCAGGTTTTGCAAATCATTTATGATTTGAATGTGCAACGGAACAATTTCCCGATTGCAGTTATGGAAAAATATGTCCACATGGATAGTAAAAGGGTAGTGACATTTTTCACACTCACACTTTTTAATTTTGTGAAAAGGTTGATTGTAATAGCAAAGCTTACTGACATGAATGACTGTTACCTGGTAAATACCATAGCAGTTACTATACTTTGCCACTTTTATTTTACCAGATATTCCCTAGCTGTGTCCCAAAGACACACGGTGATAATGTCAAAAAAACAACAAGACTGTCACAAGAGAGTCCTAGTGACATTCTTTGAATTTAATCTTTGTTTTAAAGTCACTAAATTGCTTGCAATTGTGTTAACACACGTGAACTACGTCGCAAATCTGCGCCAACCATGCGCGGCACGGAACTGTTCCTAGAGTTAAGTAGAGATTTTGTAGGTGGTTCAGTGTCGGTTCAAAAAATAATTCGTAGCTTCTTTCAATGATTCTTGGCAAACAAAACGACAGAAATATAGGCTGTTTCAGAAAAATCATCTAAAAATGCTAGTTTAAACTATTTAAAAGTAATGAAACTGTAAAGTTTGTTCGTTTGTTTCGTGGCCTATGCATACATGGGCTAATCTAGAAAATTCCTCAAAAAAATATTGCAGTAGAACTGAGGAACTACAATGTGAGCATGTAACTTTTAAATCAAAAGCTTGTCTGTGGTTGAATACTTCCATTTGTGTGGTACAGATTTTGAAAAGAGGATTCATTATTGTAAGTCACCCTAATAATAACATTTTTCTTTAAATAAACTGTGAATTTCAAACCATTTATGCTCGAAAAGAAAATGTTTCTTGAACTTGATTTGTTCACACTTTAGGGTATGAACCTCCATACAAACATTCTAGATTCCGTAGAAATGAGGAGGCGACTTGCTCATAAATTCCGAATGATTTCATTGAAGTCGTGTAATATTCTTTTGCCGCGCTCAAGTGAAATACTTTTATTTATAAGGAGACAAAACTTTAGGAAAAATAGTTTTACGAAATTGTCTTAAGGTTTTGCATTTCAGTCAAACTTCGGCGTGAAAATGGCCTTGACTTCCAAAAAGTGGTGACTTTCCGAAGGGTAGCAAAAGAGATAGTGATAATGAAAAATAGTGAGAGTGCGAATGGAGAAAGCGGTAACTCAACTGAAGAGCATTTGATTGCTAAGAATCTGTCACGTGCATTACACGCTTTAGTAAAGGGGATATCATCATTAACAGACTCAAGAAGTATTTCTTCGATTGTTGTCCCAATTGGGAAGTGGTTTAGAATTCTCCATTGTAACACATCAGTGTATTTGGATTTATTTACTTATTATTCTTAATGTAAAGGGTGAAGTAAAGCTTTCAAAAGCCCAAAAAATACTCGGTTTGGCTGGTATGATTTTCAAAAATATGATTTATTGAATATTTTTTCTTTTTTAAGACACAAATTATTAAAATTCTACTCATTTCTCCTCCTTAACTTTAAGTAATCGAAAGCTTGGTGGTAATTGTTTGATAAAACATGAAGTAGATTTTATTTTGATGTCGATAAAATTTCGAACACAAAACTGAAACATTATGCTACCACCTGATGACAGCTAAACTTCTATGCAATATTGATCACTAAACTGATAAAAGAAGCAACCGATGAAGAGAAAGGAGCACTCCTACCTACGTGACTGCAAGGGATGTTTATATTCATATTATTTTAAGAAGCATGAAATGGTGCGTTGAATTTACTTGAAACCTTCTAACTTATATTCTGACTAATGTATCACTCGTTAAATAGATTGCTCGATTTCCTTATGCTTGGTACTAAATGTTCCAACAAATTCATTTAAATGCATTTTTATCAACATGAGGGTTTTTTCATCTTCGTTTGACCCAAAACACCTTTTCAAAAAACATAGTAGTAATTTTCTTTCAATATGAGGGGAATTATCCTCCTTATACACAGTAGAATCACCTGCATCAAGCAGTCCTGGCATATATGAGCGCCGCATGTGAGCAATTACCGTAAAGTGGTGCAGAAAAGTCCTGCAATTTCAGGAGAAGTAACATTGCACCTTATTATTATTACTATCATTATTCATGGTAACAACTAAAAATACGACTTGGAGTAGTAACTCCCTTTTCTGTTCGCCTTTTTTGCTGTTCACTTGGATGTTTGTGGAGTGAAAAATACTGAAAATCTTGAGATAATAGCTAAGAGCATTGCTAATACTTCTGATTGTTACAAACCAAAACCATAAAGACTCATTCATTCAAAAATATATTAAGTACTTTGGTGAGCACCCACTGGTCTCACGCGTAGGTTTGATGTCATTTAAAAAATTAATTACATATTTTTTGATAGAGTGCATGCATCATCCGCATCATTTGCCACAAGCCTGGGTATGCCCAAAGCTTGTGTACGAATTTTACGCAAGGATTAGCATCAGCGTTTGGCTTTGGAATTTGTACTCTGCAATCGAGCTGCGTCTTAGATTTTAACTAACTTGAAGGGCTGACATATTTAAAGCTTGCGTTAATCTCAAAATGGGCCGTTTGATTTCGGATTTTTCATTAAAACTTACTTTTAAGTTATGCATGCACTATTTAATGCTCGAAACCCTAAATTTATGTTGCTATATTGAACTCCTCTTTGAACATTTAGTTAAGATATGTGGTTATCCATCCCATCTTGCAGAATTTTTGCAGAATAAGTATAAACCAATGCTTTTTATCTTTAGATATTCGATGAATAGTGACAGCCATTTACGTGGACGAGCATCAATACTTGGGAAATTTTTCAAAGGAAATCCGCCTAGTATTGTGAAATAAAGTAGGTCATTCAAAGTCTTGCACACAGATGCGACACATTTGATATCGTTCTCCTGTTTGCACCCTTTCTGGATGCATTGAAAATAGCAAGTCTTTTGCAGGTTCTAAAGTGAGCATGTGTTTATTTCGATACCCAAAAATACGATTTTGAAATTGAAATTACACACAGCTATCGCGGAAGGTTCTTGTAAGCCGTTTTTAAGTAGGTTCATTCAAATACATTTAAAAACTTACTATCAGAGTAGAACTCTATCGAAATTTCACCACCAAGCCAGTAGAACTGTGTCATTTAATTTAAATGAACTACAATACATTTAATAGTGACGGAAAATCTTAAAGATTTTGTGCGATTTATCATTAAAACTTCGTTGCAGACCATGATAGCAAAATGATGAGAGGTACAGACCTAGCCGATGCGCTGTAAGCTATGCCAAACACTGACCCAAACAAATTAATGAGCAATCCACGTGCAAAAGCTGTTATTAACACTGACACAAACCAACAATATAACCATCATATTTTGAGACCATTTAATTCTATCCAGTATATTGAAATAAATGGGTCCTTGGTAAACCTCGGTTTTACATTTCATCTTACATGCTAATTAACTAGCCACCTTATTTTCGTATGAAATATATTGTCGATAAATTGTCAATCCAAAAGCAACCAAATTGTCAGAATGTATACTACTTCAGATTGCAAGGATTGAGAAAACAAGTCTATTAAGAGGAGTTGACATATTAACTTATTTGTTTCGATGGAATCACCTACTAGTTTTAGCGTTTTTAATGCCTATGGGAATTAAAAATGAGGGTGTACCACTTCATGCTCTCCGAACAATTTGTTTTAGGGAAGAAAATCGTGCAAAAAGTGGCAAAGATATGTTTAAGGGACGTATTCATTCAGATCTTGACCAATGGCAGTGCTCAGTTTATTCCAAAATTTTCATTGGCCAACCGTAAAGGATGAAGGATGGACAGTACAATGCATCATTTTGGGGACAGATTTGTGCCACCAAGCATCGTATGAACAGTTGTGATTCAAAGTTTTTTTAAACGGGAATCGCCTTATTTCTTGTTTTGCTATCCGAGGTTTGCAAGTTTACAGGTACACCCATAATAGACGGCCTGGCTTCCCTAGCGTGAGTCAAATTCCAACGGCTGAGCCAGGTAATACATCTAATTTCTGGCTTACTTTACAAAATACATACCGCACCCAACCTGAACTTTGTGCACGAATAACACCAATGCATGCTCCACCACGAATTAACTTTGGTTTCGTAAATTATTCAAACAGATAAGTATAGGTGTGAACTATCAAAACATAAAAGCGTTACTTGTTGCATGTTCTACCTTTTCACTTGCCTTAAAGCATTGAGAAATCGCCTGATGACCTACCATAACACCCACACGCTGTCCAGTATTCAACGTATTTTGTAATGTTAAAAGGTGTACTCTTTGATCAACAAATTGTTGAGTCATTTAAGCTAAATAGATTAATAAAAGAACAAGTCGATCGTAAACTTTTGTATAAGTAATCGCTATGAACTATCATTGAATGTGGAAAATGTATTACCTGAAAAACAGGTATTTCAGTCAAGGATGTGATAGTGGAAGTTAAAAAATGCAGCAGATATAAAACATGCGTGAGTAAACTATGCCCGCTTTTAACACTTTGAATACATACTAATATACAGATTAGATTTATTTTATTCATGGAGAAAATAGCAGTCTTCTCTGTGATGAGCCTTCCATAAATAAGCATTGGCTAACTTGGGTGGGCGATTACCGACATGACGGCGATGGCGTCGTGTGGAACCATGCGTGCCGATGCCTTAATGCCGTGGTGGGGTGGGAAGACTGCATTGTGCATCAATTTGCTGAGTTGTTAAAACCTTTTCTGTTTTTAATAAGATATTTTTAATCATGCTGGGAGAAAATAAATTCTAACTTGCCTTGGAGCACTCAATACCCTATTCTCTCTTCCGAGGGTAACTTCATAAAAATGGGTTTACTCCATTGTATTTGATGATTTTTCTTAAAGGTTGTCGTCACCTTTATGAACTATTTTGCTAAATTTGTGCCTCACCAACTTTAACACTCGATGCATTTAGAGTACATGTCCAAGCTTAATAGAAAAGTGAAAAATATGTTATTTTGAAGTATAAATATCTGGGTTTAAAACCAACTCACGACATATTAAACTCATACATGGCCATTATTTAAAAGTCAGCACCTTATGCCATAAGGCATTTGTCGTTTAGTTTAAATGGTCCAGTTTTATCACATCTGCCATCAGTACCTTATTTCAGGTATGATTATCAAGTAGTTGCTTTTATACATATTTTAACACTATTTAAGTGACTAAAAACGTAGGTTACGACAACAGCAATATTGGATATTTTTAGAAACTAAAATTTTTGCGTAGGCTGCAAATACTAGTCCCTTCCTGAGCACTTTAACAGTGAACATTTCATTCTTTAAGATCATAAAATAAAAAAATTTTCTCAGGACCCAACCTCTTTGTTGTATCATTTTTGGGTTGCACTTAAGACTTACGGTGTTTAGTAGACAGCTTTACCTGAGTCACAATTGGAGTCCCCAATGTACCACATTTACCTTGAAAGCAAACGAATGTACTCGTGGTTAGGTTCATTATATTTTCGCCCCCGAACGCGTTGACCGCCGAAGAGTAATTGACCTATATTTTTAAAATGAAAGTTCAGCTTATCCATTTGTTCAAAAAAGGAAGAGTACACTAAGTCCGAAATGGTAGGGATTTTCACGAGCTTCTGGACCATATGAGTGCCACAATTTGCGGCGAAACTGTGTTTAAGCAACCGATTGGCTGTCAAATTGGAGTTTTGTGAGCTCCACGATCACTGATCCTACTTAATGACCTGTGCTCACTTTACGCCGCACCCTACCGCAACTCGCATCCTCTTTTCCTCAGGCGATCTAGCAACACCATCAACAGTCATCCAGCCCACTTCAACAGTGGTAGTATTCCAGGGTGCTGATTTTAGTTGTCTACGAGTTCTGTGGAAATTTGATCTAGAAGTCAATCCAATCAACTAATCTCTCGAACAAAAGAATATTTTCCACCTGCATCAAAAATCATCCCACCAGTGCCTCATGAATTCCATAAAATCAGGAGAATCATCCGTCAAAGTTAAAATACGGCGATGGCAAGGTAGTCAAACATATGAATGTCTTCCCAATGGGAATCATGGGCCATGTTTCATGGATAACTCTTCCGACTCCTCGATGCATACTATTGATATGGAGAAAAGAGAGGATACTGCGAGTACAGAAATGCAGTCTCTTGCAGACAATGTGGTCAAGAGAAGCCATTCATTGGAATTGCAGGGTGAAGTCCATCAATCTACTAATGAAAATAGCAAGGAACGATTGCAAGCTGCCAAAATATATTGCATGGGTGAGTACAGTTTAAAATTAAAATTTAAGTGATCACCTAACTTTTTACATTTAAGTTTTATATATAAGTAAATACAACGGTAACTAGGCTCTTACACTTATTTCAACGGGATTTACTTCAGTTTTTATTCACTGAACTTACACAAAAAGTGTAGCCTGTATAAGAGTAGAATCTTAAGAGATACTAGTTACAGAGGAAATGTAGATACTCATCAAACTGACTGATATTTACGTACACTAAGAGCTTAAAGAAAAACAAAGACAAAAACACTAAGCACTTTCTTTCTGTAAGAAAAGGCGTGAACTCAAAAAAGCCTTCACGAAAATACTCTTACGTTCAGTAAATAGCTGATTCGAAACAACGCTTTATTTAGCAAAAGTAATGGACTTATTTCTAGTTCTCGTGAAACTTTTGCAATTTAGTCAAGAAATCTAACCAATCACTGTCAAACCGAGTCTGTTTTAGCTGTGACTTCATGCGGTTGCCTCCCCCATGCTTTCAGCTTATTTGTAGAATTTTCATTTTAAGTTTCTATGCAAAGAATAACTGGTGATATGTGTATCCAAATCATGGCAGGATTTAAACAAGAATGGAAGTTAAAGCATTTTCCTTGTTAGTTTCCAAGAGTAATTCCATTATCGGGTTTGTATATAATATTTTCATATTTAATCGTTATAAAAGGGGGTTATTTTACAATATGCGGCTTCCTAATTATATGTTCCATTTCTTACAAACTAAACGGATTTGCTATACGGTTTTGTCCATTTGTATGGAAACTGGAGGAGCTGTTGTGTATGAAGCATTTGTATTAGTTCCTAGTCACTTTCAGTGGATTTATCTTGGCAAATTTTGCTAAGGTTGCTGAGAGTCATTTCTAAAATTTCCAACTGCTCATTTGACTCCTAAAAATAATGCAGGCCCCAGCAAAATGCTTTTCGCATTTGGGTTTGATTCCACAAAATGAAAAGCATTTTCTACTTTTTTAAGATTTTATGGTTTTGTGTAGTTGTTTGATGCAGCAAATCAACTACGCATTAATAAAATAAGCACGTTTTGTTTTGAATTGAAGGTCAGGTGAATACAAATCTTACATCTCAAGGGGAAGATTTCACAATGTTTGGTGTTCAGTTAAGTAGATCAGAAACCCAGGTGGAACCCATTTGAGATTGCTTTGCTGATTAATTACATGCGGTATTTCCTCTGCCCTTTTCCGTTGTGTGTTAATCAAAAAACCTCACCAGTGTGTGATTAAGAACTAACATTCAAAAGAAACACAGTCTCTGTACTTTCTCATTTGCACTAAGTTAAGGAATTTGGTAGAACACTTCAGAGTAGTGGCCTTTATCAATTTTTCTCCAATGCGCTCTTTCCCTGACTTTGAACACGAACTCCATAAGGTACATAACAGCATTCAGTGCAAATGGGTAATATTTTTGTAAAAAAAGACCCTGACGCTTTTTTTCGTACAAACCAGCTGAATAATACTAATTGACGTTCGATTGATGCATCAACTTGCCTCTTAATTATGATCTTCCTGAGGGGCAACATGCTTTATAAATAAAGTCAAGGTAAAAGATTTGACCCTAAGGAGGACAAAAACTGCTCATGCATTTTTAGATTCCCAATCACTTGCGATTACTTTCCCTGCTGTGACGACCGCCAATACCCCAAAACGCCATCATCCCTCCTCACCTGTCATTAGCTGTACAACAGACAAGACCAGTGCCAACAATGCTTCTCAATCTAACAGCGAAGACTTGGCCTCCAGTGCAGCTTCCCTTTCCACTAACTCTGCTGCATCTACACCACTTGAAGATTTGGAGCAGGAAAAACCCGTCACAAACTGTGATATGGCCACAACCACCCCTTTGTTGAATGAAGATTCTTATGTGAATGGACAAACACCACCATCTTCCCTACGACAAAGTGGGGGTAACACCACCGTCGACGCTGCTGCCTGTGGCACTAAGACGGCAGCATGTGTTTCTACTGGGAACAATAGAAACGGATCTCTTCTACCCAGACCTAGTGCAATGGGATTGAACCCCTCAACTTCTTCGAGAACCAAAACTGTGTCGAGGTCTAAGAGGGTAAAAAAGTGCATTCTCATTTTGCCAAATATTCCGCACTTTGTGAAGTAAGATACAATTCTGTCAACACCTTTCATGATTACAACTTTCAGCAGTTATAATTCACCAAGATGACATAAACAAAAATCAGGACTGGAAATAAGGCATTTTGTAACTAGTTCTGTTCTAAAGTAACAAGTTGATTGCTGATGCTCTAATAAATTTGGCATATTTTTAAGGGAAAACCTTGTAATTACATCGAGAATCGGATAATTTGTTAATCAAGGAAGTCTTGCCTATCATTTGATACTCAATTTATTGTAGGACTGCAGGTTTGTTTTTTTTTGTGTGCTGGACTTCTCCCAAAAACAAACAACAATACGCAGGAATTTTATGACGATGCATTCACACCAAACTCTCATTAATTAATTTTGGTGTCAAAATGCCGGAGAGCCCAAATATTTGTCATAAATGCTTGTGCTGCAAAAGGCTATTGAGATTTACTACTTTAAAGCAGAATTTAGTGAAATCTTATCTTGTTATTTGCTTGTTTGCAGCATTCTTCCCGAACAAATCTTTACATTCGAGGGCTTCCCAAATCAATGTCAGAAAACGACCTTGTTAGTCTTGTTCCCGATGCCTCTGCGATCCGCTCAGTGAAGCTTGTGGTAAATAATGACGGCGAAGGTAATGTTGGCAAATTTTAGCAACACGGTAGTCGTTATCGATGGTGGAGTTTGAAATTTTCTACCCATTTCTTGCCCACGTGACTTCCTTTGTTTATATCCTCCTATTAGGCAGCGTCATTTATGAGGCACTTCATAGTCCCATTTGTGGAGTCTTGGCAATTAAACCAACTTAGCCGTTATGACTGCCGCAAATAGCCACGGTGATAGACTTGAGGGACTTTATGCACTGCTACAATAAATGAGGCATCGCATCTGAATCGCATGTACTAATTTACGGTTTAAAACCATTTTAGACTTTTGATTTATCACTTGAAGTTGACAAACTAAAAGAGCTGTGAAGATTACTGGCCTAGAATGATTGGCCATCATCGAGTAACCACTAAACTATAGAACACTCTAAATCCGAAGTAACGTATTATTTTAAATTAGCGCCTACTAGCTTTAGTTTTTTGAGTTCATATGAAGGTGCTGACGTTTATTGAAGTCGTAGGTCAAATAGGTACATAGTAATTTTGCTTAATTAGATGTTTGAAATAATAGAAAATGGTGCTATCTGGGAATCCTTGCCTCGAAAGCACCACAGGAAATGCTAGGCGTACTATATCTGCCAGCATCATTTTAATCCCAGAGCCATTCTCAACTACTGATAATCAACCATATTAAGAGAACACATTAAGATTATTTCGAGCCTTTGTGATCGTACTTAAAACAAAAGCTGTAGAAATTTGATGGATACATGAGACGACATTGGGTAATATATGTTAGTTTTGACTAATCTACAACTGCCTACGGTTCCTGACGTCATGTTTTACCGGAGAATTGCTACCTGCCAACCAGATTCGCCTTGTAACGCGTTTCTCTCCGACACATATTTCAGCTCCATTTTATGATGAGCAGCACTTGATATCCGCTTCTATTTTTACTAAAGTGATAAGGAAAATTAAAATATGTAAATAAGGGGTCACATTGAACCTATGTGTATGAGTCCTATGTAATGTATCCTTTATAATTTGGTATGAATACGATCCAATGGTAAATAATTACTTCTCTCATTGACCACCTATCTTTAACATAATGGAACATGTCTCAACTTTTGTGTTTTATTTTTACAAGAAGCCTCAAGGAGAGGCATTTAAGATCCAGCCTCTTACCAGACATGTTGATGTACTAAGTAAGGATATCCCTTACATCAATGCGTATTTAACATGGAGATTTGGCTTTTGATTTTTCGACAGTCGGACTGGTACTGGTACTTGGTATCTCACTGCAAAGCTTAAATGCATTTTACTGTTGAAAATTATTTTAAGTGGTAAAGATATATTATTGATGACTTAGAAGATCCTTATGTTCTACAATATTGCCAAAATACTGGTTATGTTTCTCCCTCATGTTTTGTACCGCGGCATGTAACCGTCCTCGAAAGGGTAGGCGTTTACTGCGTGACGCCTTTACTTTAGGCTACGGGTTCATCGACTTCGTCACCAACGAGGCCGCTCTAATCGCGATGCAGCACATAAAACTTCAGAACTCTGGCCAGTATGTTAACTTTGCCTACGTAAGTGTCTCGCTTTTTATTTGAAAAGTTGGTCTAGTTTATGGAAATACTGATGACTAGATCATCAAGTAGATAACAAACCTTGTCTTACACTTGGGCATACCACCTCAAAAATATGTCTACAAATTATACTTCAGGAATTACCTGACAAGTTTTAATTGATTGCACACTTTTTGCACCATAACCAAACACATTTGTTAACCTCATAATGATGTAAGAAAACTAACAACAAATTGTTAATTGGTCCTTTTTCTACCCCATTAGGAGTCGGAAAAGGATCCTTTGAATGTCTACGTCACAAATATTCCGGAATCATGGAATTCAGATAATGTGGAGAATTTGAAGCAGATTTTTGCTCCCTACGGCAAAATAACCTCTGCGCTTGTCATGACACGGAGGTCAACAAACACATGCACAGGTGAGCCTCATTCCACCCATTAAAGTTGCCTGGTTTGAGTGATTTATTTTTAGAGACCGAAATGTGTTTGGTAGAAAGTTTGTGATTTCGTTGTAGTGTATTTGTGAGTGTGGACAAATCCCTTGATGCATAGCTCGTGTAATTTTGAAATGGCAGCTCAAATGATGCTATCGCAGACGTGCGTAGATAATGATGAGGCGCGTTAACTAGGCTTCTGTGCTTTCGCACGCACCACAGTCGGGTTGCAATCCCGTAAAGCTTTACATCTACATCCACCTCTAACCATTCTTGCTTAATATGTGCCATATTCCATCTTAATAGTTTTTTTAAGATTTAAGTTGGTGTTTTTAGAAATCAACAGGACTTCTCTGTGTTAAACACATAAATTCATTTAGACTACGCAACTACTTTTAAAAACAAGAACTTTTGGAACGGTGTTGTGCACAAATTTTAGGAGAAATTGAGTACTGATTAATAATTTGCCATGGATAACAAAGAAGTTTGCACAAATAATTATTTTCTTTATACCATTGAAGATATACATCCCAAATGGCTTGTAGCTAAGCCATTTTAATCTAACTCTTTGATTAAGACTCCCTTAGTTAAACCGGCTGGGTTTTTCCTCTCATCTTTTATACAAACTTATTCAATAACTTGATTTAAGATTACACTTTTGAAAAAAATAGTACTTTATGTGGTATTTATGTGTAAATTCACATTCCATAAGATTCGTCTGGTTAGGGATTTTTGGATATGTACGACTTAATTTTTATGAGTCTCTATCTGCAGGAACGGGGTTTGTTCGCTATCTCACCTCTGAGGAAGCGCAAAGAGCCATTGATGGCATAAGGAAGGCGAAGATCACGTTGCCTGGAGCAAAGCGGCCTCTGGAACTTAAGCTGGCTGACAGACAACGGGCTCGAGAACACAAAAGGTGATCAGATTGTTGTCATTCTCTATTTGGTAGGGGGAAAACAATGAGAAATAGCAGAGCCATATAATTTAACAGTCAGATTTAAACATAACTATTGTTGCCTCATTGTATAGGTGGACTTCTGCATAATACCTAGTTAACATTTCTGACTCGCCAACAGGCAATTTTATGTTATTTCAAAGCCGTCATCTTATATTTATTATATCGTTGTGTTCATTCATTGGCAGTTCTCTACCCAAGTAAAAAATTTACTTTGGTAAAGCCGTTGTCGTACACTCATCGGTCAGATTGCGTTTATTTATTTGAGCATAGTATAGCTAGCACTTTATTTTCAACTCCTTCATATGCTGGAGTTTTAACCAACAGTGGATTTGTCTATTAATGCACCAAATGTGGGAAGAAATTTGCCTCAAAAACTTGGACTCTTATGCGAATTCTCTTGGTTCAGAACAAACTTGGTTAATAGCTAAGTCACTGCGACACTAAATACTTTTTAATAAAGCCTAATTCATGCATTTACTTTATATGACTATAAGGATAAATTAACGAATTTATAAAGTCTAGCCATCCAGTGGGAAACACCACTCGAGCTGTATAGGCCGCTGCTGAACTTGGGAGCAATGTTACTTTTGATCTATCATGCAGTAATGCATTTTTTGTGATTTGCAAATAATTCGCATAGACGAAACAGCGTAACAAATTAATGGATTTTTTCTTTTCTAACAGTGAATCAATTGGGTCCGAAAACACTACACTGCCACTATTTCAGCAGTTTATGCACGACGAAACTCAGCGACACCTATGCCAGGCATTGAAGACGCAACATCACAACCAAATGGCTGAGGACATTTTTAATGTCGCACCTCTGCCAGAGCGCACCATGTTTGATCAGGCCAAGATGGCTGGCTATGTCACATCGGGCGCTTCGCTTATGAATTCGAGTTCGGTGGACATCACACCAACTTCAAGTGATGAAATTCCCGCTCCTGCACCACCTCAGCTCACCACTCCCACCGTCATGCCTGTAAATAACTTGGAAAAATTAGCACTGTAAAATTAGCACGATTTATGATTTTGAAAAGATTAACTTCTTAAATCCCTAACTACGCACCACTTCTGTGTTAGGTCGCTCCAGCTGTTGCCGCTGCAACAGCTGCAGCACTGGCAACGCCGCTCTACCAATTTCCGTGTATTCCTTGGATACAGCAGGACTCCACAGCGGCGCATGGTAATCCTACTGCAGCTTACATTCATCCCCAAATAGCGGCTACAGTGCCCCAGAAGGCTGTGACTGCAACAGCACCACTGGATCTAAACTCTCTCGCTGCAATCTACCAAATGGCCAGTCTTAATGCTCTCAGCTATGGAGCAACAGCTCCTGCTCAATCTTTTGACATGGTCCTTCCCCTTGTTAATGGGCAGCTTAATGAACATCCCATCGATGGTGCGTTGATAATGTATGCACGCTTTATGTGTTGCATCAGTTTCCCTAATCCGTCGTCAGTTCGCTAGACTTGTGACCATTTCGCCTCCCAGTGAATCGCATTACCTGTTACGCTACACAATCAATGATAAGGAATGGGCGATAGGAAATAAAAGATCGCACGACCATTCCTGCATTGTAAATGCAACAAGGAAACACGTTTTATCTGTCTTAAAGTGCGCAGTCGCTTAATCGTGTCAAAAATTTTGCTGTTTGATGGCTCACACAGTAAAGAGATAAGTGAACTGTTGGGCTGACATTTGTTTACGTCGAATTTTTAAGGTATTTTTCTTTCTACAGACACTGGGTCCTGAGATTTCTTAATTACTTACGCTTTGTGACCAGTTTAGTGGGCTAAATCTACTATAATGGACGTGCTTTATTAGCAATGGATTGTAATCATTAACACAAACTCTTGATTAAACAAGAAGTATGGGTGAATTTTGCTGAATGCTACTTGATCATTTGCTTCTGTCACGCAATTATGCGACATTTATTGCAAATTTTGTGAATTTTTAATAAGTTGAGTGGGCTTTTTCCACCTTTGAGAAATCGGAAGTGCGTTGAGCTGGAAGAATTTTTTGTGCTTGTATCGTTGCAGATAGAAACCATGGCGAATTGAAGAATTAAATAATATCCCGGTTTTAGTACGTAATAAAGGCAACTCAATAAAAATTTGTTTTTTTAGAGTGCTCATGCGGTGAGAAAATTGAATGTGCCATAAATGGAAATTCCTCGATTATAGCTGTGTGACTCTTTAATTGATCGACGTGTTTACTTTATTTGCAGCTACAAACCTTAATCCATTTGGACTGAATCAGTCGCTTTGGCCAAAAGCATGTTTCTTCGGCTAGTCAAATCTTCGGATTCGTGACGCTTCAATCCGCATGCACCACTCTAAATTGCTCTTCTTTTCCTGTCTTTCTCCCCCACTCTTTTCTGAACCCACTAATACCAAAAGAACTTCTCCAAAGTGATCCTATTTTCCGTTTAATTTAGCACAAAGATGCAAAGAAGATTACAGTGATCAATTGGAATTTAAGTACTACCAATGCTCAATCGCAATTGTGGGTACCATACCATTGAGAGTCCAAGCATTTGTACACGCACAGGGTAATTAAGCTGTCAACTTTTCTCACCTTGCTTGTGCAAGAATGAATAAAGTTAAAAGCAGATGCCCATTATAAAATTGTGACATCGTTCACCGCTATCCATCGGACCTACTTGTCACTACAGAAAAAGCTGTCATTGACGGTTTATGCAACAAAACAAGATTGAATTTGCTCTTTTTTTCTCGTTTCTTTTCTTTCGCTCTTTATCTCTCAAACTGATGATGCTTTTTCTTCATAGGACAGATTTATCCTCAATTTTGCACCCGGTAATTTTATAAATGCTTCCATAACTAAGTAGATAAAAATTTTTCTCAAATGGGCCAGGATGTAATTGTTCCATAAAACTATTTTTTTAGGGACGGATGAAACGCAGTAGCCAATAAAAAGTCTACTAAGGGGATGTTTTATTTGGACATTTGAATTAATTTTCTCCCAAAGTGGAAATTATGTGAAAATAGTTTCATGCAGTCATGTCACGTACTAAAGGACTTAGTTTTCCATGACAGACTGTGATAAATTGATAGGCAGGGTATGAGTCAAGATTGGACATTGGAAGGAAACTAGATAAATCCATTCTCTTTACCAGGATCCCCCCTTTTAGTGGCGTCTCACGGTGACAACTTGCCTTACATATAAATAGACGATCATTAATAAAAATTTAAAAATAATAATATAAGTTCGATTTATTCTTTGAGTCCAGTCAGTCGTAACTTTTGTTGGCAGAAATGGCATTCGCTTATTTTATTCGACCGCATTTCTATTATGTGAAAGGGCTCCCAGTTGTAAGAAGCTTGGCCTGGAGACAGGCACTAACTATTGGCTAAACGCTTGAATCTTAGGGTTAAAGGTATCAATGAAGTGAAACCGCGGTTAGGGCTTCTCCTATATTTGGCTTTCTTTAGTTTGCCGCAATAATTGCATTCTGGGGAAAGTGTAAGCATTTTAAGTGATAATGCAAGACAAGGTTAAGAGTTTGTTTGCTAAAGCGCAACTTGTTATTTGCTGCCTAGAAAGTTGGTTGAATACTTCACATTTTCTTAGTCCCTAGTATTTGGTTAATCATGAGACGCTTTCCAATTTGTGCGGCTGCACTTCTTCATATACGTTATTATTTTGTCTATAAACTTTATATTTAGCTGTGTCAAATTATAAATTTTACGGCTAGGAGCTAAATTAAGTAATCAGGTGAAACTCGGTCTCGATGTGAAATATAGCAGTCCTTTCTTGGTTTATTTTAAATTACGGGAACAAGTTACATAGCTCTAGAATGACGTTACCAATAGCCACAGATTTTGGCCGCATTTGCACGTGTTAATATGCAAGCAGCATACGATTATTGTGGAGTACAAATTTAATGTCATCTCTGAAGCCGTCAAACATCCCTTTTTTATGAGAACTGAGAAAGAATCACAACAGGTATCAAATCCATTTAAACTGATCTGTAAAATGAAACATGCAATTTCCAAAAAGCTTCCCTGTTTGTTCCTTACATTTGTTTTCTTCCTGATCAAAGCGCTTCAAATCCTAAAGTTCACTTATAACTGTTGAAATGAAACCCCAATCACTTATTTAAATTATGGGCTTATTATCTGCAATGCAAAGGAAAGTGCAACAAAAAGTTAGGAATGCTGACTGTGAAAGACTATCCACTCTGTGCAACACTTTGCCGTCGGCCAAATACATAACTCCCATTCACATACAGCGAATGAAACCCATGCAAAAGAACTTTGAGTAAGAACATGTATCGCTGATATTTATGTAAAACTGAGATTGAAACAAGCTAGGTGTATAAATAGCAACTTAAAGCAATTACGTCCAAAAACATTCACAATTAAATGAGCATGTGTAACCGCGTTTTCAAACTCCGATGAACGTCGAAATTCAGCGTTAACTTAATTTCCCTATTTGGTCGGAAGATGCTCGGTAAAATTCTAAACACACCCAATGGCTCGTGAATTTTGTGCCACTTCTTATTCCTGCTGCTATCTAAAAGGAATTACGTAATGATCCGCCTATAATCTTAGCTCATTTTAGTCTTCAGTGCACCTTCAACCCACATGTTTCTTATTTTATTATTCGTTTGTAGAATGACTATTTGAAATTGCTAACTATATACCACTTAACTTAAAATGACAACTTAAAATCAAATATTTTAATTTCTTATAAGAAGGCGAATTATTGCCAACTGTATTAATAGGCCCTCATCGTTATGTAAGGTCATTTAAATTAGAGGCAGTTAATAAAATTGCTAGCATACCCAAGTGCAAATGCATGAACCTAAATGAATTCAGGGGATTGCATTTCAAAATTCATTTCTTTTGAGTGGTCATTTCCTATCACACGCTTACCTAACGTGGCTGTGTCATTAAAAGTGGTTTCTGCATATCTATTTATTCGTACCAATCCCCCACCGGGTAAAAAACACTCTGGCCTTTATATTTCCGCATGTACGCGTGCTTATATATGCACAATGCTTCAAAACCCATTGTTGCATGGGGTGCACAGTTCTGTCTTATTATTGGTACATTAGAGTGCCCTTTGGTTTAAGCAGCACTTGCCGCTTCATTAATTGCCAAACTTTTTTCCCGCATTAAAGTACGCATATCAAGTGCCAGTTTCTTTGAAAGTAACCATACTTCCTTGAAGAGTAGCCGCATTGTTAAGGTTAAGAAGTAATCTTAATTAATAGATCTCATTAAACATTTCTCGTTTTTGAATATAAAGGTAAAGAATGATTGCCTGCATTGCGGTAATATTTGTAATATTCTAATTACTTTGCTTCTACAGGAGTCTAGTTATAGTCAAACCCACATTCCTGAGTCTGCTTCGTATTCAGTTGATCTCACTCATGCCTTATTTCAAATTAGTCTCGTTCAATCATTGTTTGGTTGGTGGAGGATTGGTGAGAAAGTGTGGGTGACGGTCGTGCACTTCTTAGAGCAGCTTTAACTTCGAAAAGCTTCAGTTCGCAAAACCACCTCAGTCTCTGATTTTTTGCAGTGGAATCATCAATATCAAGAATTATGAGGTTCATTTTGTTCATAGGCGTTCATTTGGCAAAACTAAGTTGAAAACGCAAGGGAAAAGCTGTTGTGCTTAGCATAAGGTAAATTTGACTTACGTAAAGCTATATTCTAAAGGATTTGAAATGGTTGGGTCTGAAAAACCAACCACTATCAAATAAATTACCGTACTATAGAAATTCCCTATTTATACCGATTCTCAAATAAATACATAGGTATTTAAATAGGGACGTTTTGCAGTTATTTTAGTACTTAAAGTAACACTTGGACGTGCAATCAAGATTGCTATCTAAACGGTTGCAAACGGCCGCATGTTTTAGACTGCGATTAAGCTAATCACCCAAAGAGTAGCATTCAAATGAATTTGATTCATACACTTAACTTAGCTGAAAGTATTTTTGGGCTCAAATGCCCTTTCCTGTGCGAATGCGCTCCATGAGCGATTAACCTAGAAGTACTACTACAAATCTTTAATGGCTATTGAATGGTGGAACGCTGCATTTCCAAACATGACCGTTGGACAGAATATTGACTCAACAAGTCGGCGGATAAAACGGGTGCTTTTTAATAGGATCATGGCGCATTTGCATTCGACTACCATATTAAAACTGCGAATATCACCTTCCCCAAAAGAGGACTCATTTGGATGTTGGAATGCCTAGTGGATCGGCTGTAACTGTTCAACGACTTTTCTGTGAACTTGTCGAACCGCACAACAATATTTTCTTCGTGAGGATGTCATGCAAAAGAAAGCACCATAACAGTAGAAAAGCGTACTGTTTGATTGCAAGTGCACAGGCCTTATTGTATTTAATGGTGTTAGAAAGAAGCAAATTTTCTTTGAAGGACATATTGAAATAAAAGGGAGCTATTCCGATGATAATTAATGGCTAAGAAACTCCACCTTACAGATATGATAATCTCTAAGACCACATGCTCATGTGATAAATTGAGTTTAGCTGTTTTATTCTAAAAAATAATTTCACTTACAACAGGAAGTAATAACAAAGATTTATCAGTCAAGTGTAAGATACTTGAATAGGCTACAATTGCTTGATTCGAAGCCTTGCACCGTAATGGCAAGCTCGTTTAAAATGTAGTTTAAAAAGATGGAAACGTATGTACACGTATAGCACATTGAAGAGAGGTATCGACCAAAGAGTGGACGTGGCTTAAATTCACTTCTTTTCTCCCTATCTGTAAAAAATACACACCTTACATTGCAATACCAGCATCTAATTAAAATAACTTGTTACCCATACTTTTATGATTTCCTAAACAAAATTATATCCTCCGATCTAAATAGTCGAATCTGCTAGTAAGTGAAATGTTGCTCAAAAATTGACGTAATTAGCATAAATCTGTCTTGAAAAAGGGAACATAGAATAAATTGATCTCTGCATTTCGGAACTTATTTCAAATTGCAATATTTATAATTTTCACTTAATGGTAAAGTTAGTTTTTGTCTTTTCTTATTTTGCTTTGAGATTAGAAAAGACATGCGTAAATAAAACTTTACGAATCAAATTTTCTCCTCTCTGATGGCACATCAGTCACATACTATTTAAAGCAACTTTCACCATAGAGGCACCAGAACCATCGAGTACTGAAGCTTACCGGATTTCCTTCCGCGTGTGTTGTCTTCTGACTAGTGTGTATTTTCGCTTCCCTTTGGTTACAAATAAGGATAGTGAACAACCATCTTACAGGGCGTTTTTAGTAAAACTTTCATTTTTAGGGGCCTAAATTTCATTAGTATTAGAACGCGCTTTAAGTTTAAGCAAGACATGGTTTTGTGTTATTAAATTGTTTGTTAAATCATATATGACGTGCACGAGTTCTACTTAGGTCTACAAAAGCCAAGGCACTTAATTCTGAAAACATGAATCGCCATCGAGTATTGGTCAAATGGGGCACTACAGATGAGCAGATAGAAACATTTTTTGCTACGGGGCTTTCGAAATAGGAAGCCAGCATGTAGTTTGGTAAACGTGAAATAGCACCCTTCATATTTGTGTGAAATATTGTAAAAGAAAAAAAGTGATTTGAAATTCACGGACTTGAACAAGGCACGCAACATTTTGCGGCTTCTCGTGCATGGCGTGAAGTAATCACGCTTATTTTTAAGAAAATTATTCGCACTTTATAGGGCATTCTTACTTAATGTTACTGGACCTTATAAGAAGGAGTTTCTTGGTTTTCGCTTTTACTATCGACGTTGGAAATTGGGTTCTAACTTTTAATTTGCATTATAATCAGGTGATTTAAATTGTGCATGATATTTAAGGCGCTCTGGGGATTTAAATATTACTTTATTTTTCCACGGGAATCCAGCCAAGGATAGGAGGATAGAGCAGTTGCATGGAGATCATATCAGAAATTATTTATGCCTGTAAGTTATAGCCAAGTAGGAATAATTTGCTCTCGTTTATAATTTTTCTATTTGGCAGATAGAGTCTTGGAGAAGGTAGCAATCAAACATGAAATAAGGTTTACTCTCGTAGATGCCAATTAATGAAACATGGTTAAGCATGTCAGAAATTGAATTGCGAAGTTGGAGAAGAGGAAACAGCCTCTCCGACGCAAATCAACTGCGCAGATGAATAAAGGAGAACCCGTCCACTGAGATACTAAACAAAGATTTATGTGTACGATCAGGAGAGTACAATGCCTGATAGCGTGTCTGCTTGGCTATCACACACCATCTTCCTGGATTGATACGCAGCAGATTTATATTTCTTGGACCAGCGTACCATGTATTCACTCATCCAGCGGTTTTCTTAGCTTTTTTATCTTGCAAATTACAAAACTTTCGCTTATTACGAATAATGTTTTTACGCACTTTAGCTAAAAATGCCATATGTCTCATAAATGGTTGACGATTCGACTTTCAGTTATTTTAAGACAACACATCATGTTCAATGAACATAAATTATAATGGCGTAAACTATGCTAGGGCCGACGAGTCGCATTAAGCCATAATAATGCAATCAAAACTTTTAGAAATTGTTTAAAAGTAGTTCTACTGCCCACTGAAATACCGATTAAAACAATCCAAAGCTCTTTGCAAGGGTAATTAGGTGGTCGATGTCGAATATTACCCCTTCACTTGACCTGAAATATGTACACTCGGGGTCCCTCGATGGCAGTCAAATTTAAAAACTTATTTTATTCTGTCAAATAGCAAATGAGTTTTCTGCAAGTGAAAATGGCTAATTATATTGCCAAATGGGAAATTTTGGGAGATAATGAAGTTTGTCTGTGGAAACTAATCGGTCCTACGCATACGTCCCCATTACTTTTACAATAGCAAAATTCCGGAATAAATCTTAAAAAGCTAAGTTTATCAAACATATGAATTAAGTGGTTGGAACTTCCCTTAGAGGGCTTTACTGAGGCCTATTTAAGATTTGGAGTTTGAATAACATCACCGGATGGTTCCCACTAGTCCTAGAAAAAACCTTAATGCAATTCGATCACTGTAGTCCAAAAACCATAAAGTTAGTATGCAATGCTAAGATTTTACTCCCGGCTTACATGCCAGTGCCCACTTTCATTCAAAGTCGTATTATCTTTAGGGCACCAAAAGTTTCCAGAGAAGTTTGCATTGAAATGCAAAACAGACGCTACCAAACGTATGCCTACACTGTCTAATATAGTGAGGTGAGTGAATAATGCGGCACTGGCGGATAGAATGGAAATTTTGTCATTTATGCCGGTGCCTTAGACTTAGAATTACAGGCACTAAAAGTATTTTACAGAAGGGTGCATTGAGGTGAAAACAGAAACACTTGAGGTTATTTTAGTTAGATTGGGAGCACCCTTGGTTTGCGATAGCAAAACACCCCCTCCCCTCACAGCACGCGGCCACGTGCAGGGGCGCTAGACAACTGTGGCAAACCGTCTCATGCGGAATGCCCTTGGATGATGCCTTAGCTGCAAGTTATGGGACAAAATTTTTGCTGTAATGCAGTTTAGTAGATATTCTGCCATGATCGTTTAAGGTCCTCAGTGTACGTTATGACTTGCATCGACTGAACCAAGATTGTATATTGATAATCTCGACCCTCATATTTTGATTGCTTGTAGTAATACTGTTAAGGGTGATTTTGTTAAATAAAAAGCCTACAAAAAATCCAACTCTAATTTTTTGCCTTTATTATTTCAAAGTTAAAGATTAATCACCCAAATTGCATACGCTTGGCAGTAGTGCTATTTTGAACTACAAATCTAAAATAGTGTGCAATTGAGGCTTGTTTTGCCATAACTACTTTAGGTAAAAAAAACCCAACAAGTATGGCGTTTTTCAAACTTTCTTCCGCTCAGTGCATTTTGGGAAGACCAAACGCCCATGTAATTTCTTCAACCAACATCCATAACGTCGGTACTTGTGTAACAGCAGTCCTCATTTTGTTGCCTCGCTTGCATATTTTTCGCTTTCAAATCAAGCCACGACTCAACTAAACAGCTACACGTAATGGAAAGTAAAATGGCATGCTTTATGCAGCTGGAGTTTATGGAAGCGAAACGCCTACATCAAGGTCCGCGTGCACTTAAACGAGTGTAGGGAATACAATTAATTTTAACCATCATTTTCATCTGGAAGCTGCTGCTCTGATTATTTCCATCAACTATTCCAAATCGCAACTCATTTAACGAAATTCTGCATTAGTCAGCACTTTAAATCCACAACTTAGACTGGTTATTTGTGATCCACTAGCTAATTTTTAGGCACTGTTACAAAACCCCATCTTGTCCTAAGCATTTACTTGTTTCCCTTTGGCTTATTAGCAAGATGGTAGCACTTATCTTATAATTTGACCCTCGTACTCATATTCCACTTACGTCAATTTATCAAGGGTCAAGGAAAGGAATATTGGCATGGTAATGTAATTTGCTTCTTAAGGTGAACAAATTTCATATTCGTATTTGAAATGAGGTGAACTTTAAGGCAATTTTTGCGTCAATAACAATCTTCACTGACATTGCTGTCAACAGTGTCGTTTGGTTTTCTGTCATCCACACCTCCTAATTGATGCTCTGACAATGTTGGTGAAAAATCGCATAAAATGACTTGGGATTCTGGGGTAATAAATGCCAAATTCTTTTATCGCTACGAAAGCTTTGTTTCTTGGCTCTCTTTACGACAATAATTTGTCATTAATAAATGGAAGGTATCATCAAAGCAGGTGTTTTACACCTGCAAAAGAGTGAAGCTGCACAAAATCATGGAAATTATGACCTGGGCAATAATTGGCAGAACTAATGCGCATTAGTGGTGATGTTTGCAGAGATCGGTGAAGATAATCTTAAATACTTTAAAGACAAAACTCCTTCTTAAGCAATAGTGTTTGCCACTGAGTTATATTATGTCGAGTTTGTTTATAAGTCTGGGGATTTCAAAAAGTAGGACCCTTTGTCTACTAATTAATGCAAAACCTTAATATCTTGCTAACGAAGCCTAGTTTGTTTGCTTATTGTGTCGTGACATGAGATTGACCCACCTTAACACAATAAACCAATGCCCTTGAAATAATGGTCAGAAAGTAGGATCAGTTAGCCGTTGGTCAAATGAAACAAAATCCGTAGGCTTTGCAGACACGTAAACTGGTATCACGCCCTTAAAAGCGATTACCTATTCCAATTATGGGAAAATCTATTATTCATCCAGTCAGCCTTTAAAAAAGCATGGCAATATTGGGATTATAATTAGTCTTCTAAATTTTTAAGTCAACTAATACGGCTATTTGTATTCTGACGTAGCAGCCTAAATTGTTTCATAACAACGACAACCAATTCGATCATAATTTTCCTCACTTCATAAGAAAAGGTTTTAATGCGGCTATCCAGTTATGGTTTATCAAAGTCGTTGCTCCCGTGTAAAACACAAGGAAAATAAGTAACCCATAAAAGGCGCTTTATTTAATGTATGAACCCAACAATTTAGCGTGACTGACCCGTGTAGAAGTGTGTATTTGCGGCTTAGTTCGAGGACGATGTTCTGTGAGGTGCAAGGAATAATAAATGCGCGGTCTGAATACTGGGTACTTAAAAATCAGAGTGCGACGAATTTTTATTAATTATTCACTTATTTCAGAATTGTGTTGTAACAAAAGACCTTATGCTTAAATAAGCATCACAACTAACTGCTTTTTTAAAAATACAACCATTCCTATTAAAACGTTTTATTTCTTAATTGTTAACTCCAAAATAAACAATTAGTTCAAAGGAGGAATTTCCTTGCAACAAACTATAGTATATGTTGTTCGCAATTTCACTTTAATCAAGTTACTTTCGCCTGTTGTAACGACTTGACAAACGTAATTTCTGCAAATCCTCGTTAACGCGAAGTTTATATTTCAAGAGCATTGCCCAAAAAACTCCAATGAAACGCATTTTAAGAGGTTGAAAACTAGCGTTAAGCTTGCTGCTGCCGACGAATTTCCGTCATGCCATTTGCTTTTGTGAATAAAAATGCACCAGAAAGAACCAGACGATAATTTCAATATCAAATCAAGATGTTTTACAAATAGTTAGCTTTCATCTTTCACTGTTACGGGTATTTTGTTTTGTGTTCGACAAAATTAAGATACAATTTTGAGAATTTGACAATAAACATCTTTACTGAGGAGTTTTTCCAGCAGTATCTAAATGCAAATGTAAGTGTTTCTGTTGCCAGGAGTAAGTATAATTTCCGAGCATTCTATTGAATCTCCAAATTCTTTTTCACCAGGCAAGAGAACAAGTTTTTGAGACAAAGTCCAAGAGCCACAGACGACCCATGTGTATAGTTAGTTAAGACGTGTTGTTAGTGCTGGAGGAGAATGCCAGTGTTATTTGATAAGCGTGATATATTAGCGTCCGAATGAACGGAAATCAGCCCTCTATATATACGCACAATTAACATAAATTATGCAAAGCGCCGTACAAGAGTGCCCCAGGGATTTAAGTGGCGTCTCTCCGCCGTTCTCTTCTTTATTTTAATTTTAGGGCACACCGTACACAAATATTGTTGCACTGTCGGCTGCATGCTAGAGCGTACAACGCCCTCTTTCATGTTGCAAGCATTGCTTGCTCGCCGCTAGTAAACAGATCTTTGGTTTTCAATGCAATTACCAGCCATATTAGTAACATACAATATGGCATTTCTTTAAAATTGAATTTGACCGAAATATATCATATTCTACTAAAATTTTGAAAACCTGCAAACAAATCGTCCATTTTGTTCACCTAACAACAACAACAGCCAACTCCTATGACATGAATCGGCTCTACTGATGGCGTGATAAAAACGTGTGGCTTCGTATTACACATATCAGCATGCAATGTAAAAAATAACTCTGCACAGGATGCATAGTTTTGTGAATGCTTCTATGACCCCTATGTTGCAAATACAGCGAAATAACATTTCACAGGTAAATAAGACCTATATCATTTGGATTTCTTCTCCGATTTTTCAAAAGAAATGTCAACTCATCGACAACTGCCCATTGACTTTTTAAGTGCCATAAGGAGCAAATTATTAATCACAAAATAGATTAACCCCATCTCTGAGTGCAATTGCTTAGATGGACTAGTAGTCATGAGGAATACATCCGAACGCAATCTTAGTCCTAGGTATCATGCTTCTTTGCGAAAAAAAGGCGTCCCGCTTGGATATGAATTCTTGTGATTGTTAAATGTAAGAAGACGTCTTGCTCATACCCCACCTGCTTTTACTGGACGTTCTCATCTCTTATTTTACAGTGGATCGAAGGAAAAGGGCATTTTGCTTAGTCCAGTTTTTAACAAGCTTCACTCTGCGTCAAAGTAGTTTTGTTGTGTAACGACACTTATATTGGGTTACGTAAATTAATCTCAATGAATTTATAAAGAATCCAAACTGGTAAACATTCGCAGCATAGTTATGTATAGCTAGTCCTCTAATTTAATCCTTGATGCATAGTAATTACGGACTTCATTTTACGATGTGTCATTGATAAATGCATATCTGTGGAATCATTTGTTGTTTTCATTTGTCCCCAAAAAGTTGGCCGCGCTCAAAAGTAGCAATAATATGTAATGCATAATGGGTTCTCTTCCAATAAAATAAAAGCGTTACCCAGTTTTAAAAGGAATAGTTAGTCCTTTTAAGTGAGTCATGCATTGTGTGTAGTAGTACTTAGACCCGAGTGCCACCATTTGCATTCCTTCAAACAGAATTTTCTATGCTTTAGTTAAAATAACCTCGTTAGTCCGTCTCAAAAAATTAAAAATGCTCAACAGGCATAAATATCAGATTTTTATGATCACGGAGAATGTGCTTTCAAAAAAACAATTGTGGCGAAAGGTAACAAATGTAGAAGTTTAATATCTACTTGAAAGTAGCTTCTTTTAAGTCAGTGTTATAAAATGCCCAATAAATTTATCTCAGTTAAATAGGAATACGTCGGGCTGATAAAACAAGACGTTTACTCGTTCGTTTGCTAGAAGTCTGCACCATAAGAAACAGCTAACTTCGAATAGTGTGCCGGATTCGTTAACGCGTACCAAATTATAGCGAATCCGGAAATTCGGATCTTTGCTGCAGGGGCATAAAATTTAGCACTGGGCTCCACGTGGCAACGCTTACACCCCTTGTTCAACTCCACCCACGTGACAGTGGAATGCGAGGCGCCGCCAAGCCACAATAAATCTAACTGGAGCACGGAACGATTGAAATCGTAACCGTTTACATGCTCACAAGCTCTTACCCAATTTCTTACCAGTTTTATTTACAGATTGGGTGCCTTTGCAGCTTGTTAGAACGATTCCCTTCCTTTAAACTTCAACGGAATTAAAAGTTTTAATACTTAAGTGAAAAATGTCCAATCAGAAATCCCCAAGAATCTCTTGAAGAACTTTTGG